CCCAGCTGTACTGAATCTCAATGTCCCTACCCAGCCATAAGAACTGTTTTTTTTCATTGTTAAAGTTCCACAAATCACTGTCCTCTGTCTTCAACCAACTAACCACCACCTTCGAATCACCTTCCAGGATCAAACGACTGATATTTAATTCCTTTGCTCTTCGAAAGTTGTGGGTGCTTATTTGAAAGGGATACATGATGTTAGGCCCTGGTTGAATCAGGTTCCCCAAGGCATCCTAAGTCCAATCTGAGTTGAGGTTGGGCATTTACATTTTTCCAATGTTATAAAATCCCAACCAGATGGTAAATCATTTTCAAGTAAGGTTTGTCGATTGTGGTTCAGTGGTTGAACAGTGGTTAGATTGCAAATTTAACAGTGATGTTGTTCACTAAACCATAGCTGTAAAAATAGGATCTATGTAGTATGTTCGGTTCTTTATATTCACCAAGCTGAACTATCCTGAACACCAGAAGAATTACTGCCAGGTTTGGATGTGCTAATGGTAGACATACTTAAAAAAAACAGCAATACACTACCCTGAAAAGCCAATCTACAGGAAATGTTCACATGCCACACACGAGAAAGAGAAAACTAACTGCACCAATATAGCACCTATATCTATTAGAAATTACATAAATCATGCCAAAAAGTGATTCAAACCCAGAAAACATCATTGTTGCCATGGTTGGATAAAACCAAGTGAAGAAAAAAATGATTTTTTTGCGAATGACACTAAATAACATATATAACAATTAGTTCCAGAAATCCTCTATTTCTGAGAAAATTATCAAACCACTTCCAATCAGAACAAGAGTATGGCCATACTCTTGAAACTGACCTGGCTTGCATGATCTGCGGACAAGACTGTGTTGAAATGCTACTCATGCTGAATACCAGGACATTGTTTGCTATCTTTTCTGTCACTTCTTTCCTTTTTTTTACAATGCAATGTTCAGAAGCCTCAGTTTTTAATTAAATCTGTGCAGCCATTGAGGGGTGGATCATTTTGGTTACTGGAGTACATGAAGAGGCACAAGAGGATGATCTCCAAAATACCTTTGGTGAATTTGGGGAGGTTAAGAACTTGCATCTAAATCTTGATCGTCGCACAGGATTTGTCAAGGTAAGTAAAATTGTTTCATTTGAGAATCTGCATTTGGATCCATTAACTGATGAACATCACATGGATGATCTTAAGAAAGGAATTATCTTGCCTCTTTTTGTGCCATGAACATTTTTATTGATAATATACATAACATGTTGGGAAAAAGTTAATGAGGAGGAAAAAATGCATTAAGATTGCCTTGTGATCAATGCCATACTCAATCCTCAAAATCAAGATTTAGTAAATTATATTTGTATTCATGCGAACGGACAAGGGACAAAAATTGACTTGCTTTGCTTATTGATAATTGGTCCTACCTCCTGATTTTAAAAGTATGCATCAATAATGGAAAAGGCAAAATTAAATATGGAATTTTATGAATTTTACATATTTTTGTGCAGCAAGGGTATTTTGGTTATTTGACCAAGGTGTAAGTTGGTCCACCTGGGTGGTTTGCTTTGTCTTAGTTATAATGTATTTATCCATAAATTTTCAGTTGTAAGGTGAATACTTAGTTATGGCAGATTCTTTAAGTTGTAGTATGAGAGTGGCAGAGCTGTAGTTCTTTGTTTTCCTAGTTTTAGGAGTATGGCTTGTCAGCCCAAGGTTTTATCATTTGCACCCTATGGTGTTTGCCAATGCAATGAGGTGATGTCTAGCTGTTTTGGCCTCCCTATTGGCGAAGAATCTGTGCTTAGTCTAGACTAATAGACCAATTGCATCTTTACATTAACTCAGCAATCCCTAATAATTTAGCATTATTTCATTAGAAGGTTCCATTGTTTGACCCCCTTCTCTTGAAGAACCTAGGCGATTTTGGCAGTTTGCTGAGATTTCAATCCAAAACTAATGGTACCCTTCCATTAACCACAAAATCCATCTTAAACCTATTTCAGTTGCCACGTTGATTTTTATAAAAATCTGATATTATAATTTTTTTGATAAGTAACAAATAAATTTCATTAAAGAGAAACTTTGATTGTAATTTTGAAAAGAAGGCAACTGTTTATGTTCATTTAGAAGGAGATCTGAAGGATTACAGAGAACCCTGTCTCCTAATATTAAAAAAGATCAAGATGGCATTGAGCTATCACAGTATCATTAAACTAGAAAGACCTTTTCACTCCATCTTTTCCTAGTCCATTAGCTATTGAATTTAGTTCTCGTGGGATCTCTCTCCTTCGGAACAGAGGATCAAGGAATGTCTCTTCAAGTAGTGAGCCACCTTGCAAGGTTTCTGCCAACAGCTGTTGCTTCATCTAATGACATTGGCGAAGTCCTTTTCAATGGCTAAAGAAGGGGTCAAGGCCTTTGACAATTCCTTCCCCATTAAGGGGGCCAGCATCTCTGTTTTGCCGGAGATGGCATTCCCAAGTTGGACAATTGTCTGCTGAATGCCTGAAATATGCTCCCACTGGACCTGGTAAGGATTTCTTCACCCTGGCAGGCCCAGGATTCCTGGAGGAACTGTCATCAAACTGTAACTTAATCTCACCTTCAACTGGAGGAAGAGGGGAACTTATAGGAAGTTGGTTTCTCTTCTCTGTAGAAGATCAAAGATGCCAACCAGATTTATTTAAAAGTCATTGAGAGAGATTCCCTGAACTCTTTACTAATAAGAACCCAAGAATTCAAAGGAACAAGGCTATTCTGCATTTTTTGATGGGAAACAGTAACTTTCATTAATAATAATGGATAAAAATTACAACTGCCACCATCCAAGGGCAGGATGGAGAACCCTTTGACAAAAACTGTCTCGTAAACAGGCCCAAAACAACTCTTGCCTATTTACTCCTTGCTTTGCCAAAGCATCAACCATACCATTTGCTGATCTTGCCCAGTTAAATCTCACCCCAATGTCCCTTGCTAAGCTCGAGATTTTTCTTAGCTGATGTCTGAATATATGATTGTTCCTTTCTTCCCATATCCTCTTCCCTTTCCTATTATCGCAGTATGAACGATAGCCTTCTAATATAGGTTCCCCTTTCACAAAGACCCATGTATTTCCAATAATAGAACCTGGTGAGAAACACTTGAGTCCCACAAGGCCCAAAAAGAAATTTCAATGCTGTTGAGTGACCAGACAGTAAATGAGAAGATCATTAATTTGGCATCCTTAAGACACATGATATACACCTTGGAGGATGTGCATCTATGCTTAGAAACTCTGCCTGTTGTCACACTTCTGATCCTTTTTTTTGGATGAACAACTGAATTTTTATCCTTTAGCTGCTTTCCAAATGAAGAAAGAAGCTCTATGGGTAGGGGTGGGGGTGGGGGGTGGGTGGGGACAAGACAACTCAACTCAACTAAGCCTTGTCCCAACTATATGGCAACACAAGACAATTGGAGTTTTTTCCCGTAATTTGTTTTCTGGAAGGTCTTGATATTAGGATTAGACATCAAGGTGTAGAAGAAAGACACATTGGAAAAGAGGTATAATATGTGTTAGCAGTGTGGGGGGAGATGTTGACCTCTCTAAGGATGTGGACAAGAGTGGCAATATCCTCAGTTTTTTTTGGTGTGTGTTTGTGAGAGAGATCAACCCTTTCCTCAGCCCACCCTCTTTCTTGGTTTTGCAAACAATACCATTGGTTAATGAGGTAGTCCCTCTTCTTTCCTCCAAAGTTCCTCAATGTGGTGGTCCCTTAAACCTTTGTGGGGACCAAAGGGGACCTGGAACACCGAACATTGACAAGTTGAATGAAGAGGCCAGCCAAGGTAGTCATAAAAGGAATGAACCTAGCACTTTAGTAGATAATTCTTCTTCCAAATAGTCAACCTCTTCTCACAGTTTTCAATTACTGGGTTTCAAAAGGTGATGAACATAGGATTACCTCCAAGAGGCTTGCCCAAATATTTGATCAGCCATTTCTCCATCCTACATCTCAAAATTCACTAGAAGCCTTGCAAGACCTCATCTGACAAATTAATACCCACCTCAAATTCTCTCACTAGCAGCAAAGCACCATTGGTGAGATTACTGAGAATGGCATGATGCCGTGACCAAAGTAAAAAGAAGTGCAGATAGAGAGGGCATCCCTGCTACAGTGCAATAGAGCACCTTAAAAAACCAGAGATGGGGTCATTAATCAAAACAGAACCAAATAGTATAATAGCTAGATCATACCTGTCCGCCAATTTGATATTAAAGCCCATGGTTAATGACTATGCTCTCACAAAATGATCAATTCTATAGGCATACACTTTCTTCTAATCAATCATCATATGGGTCTCATGTTGCCAGTAATCAATCTTATGGGTCCAAAATCAATTAGAGTTCACATCCCTCCTTTTAGTTAAAAATTTAAGAATACAGAATCTGGGCCTAGAATAAGGAATTGAATACTACCTGATTGTGCATATCATATGGAAGTGTGCCGGGTTAATTAAAGATAAAGTGGGTGATTTTGGTGGTTGATAAGGACTGATTATGTGGTAACAAGATGGTAATATCTTGGAGAATTGCATGTGATCATCCATATTCTAGTGCATAATGTTTTGGTGGTTGTTTAGTTATCAATAAAAAAAAAATGTTTTGGTTGTTTTTTGGTACTGCCATTTTGTTTAACAGGTTATGCGAATTTTGGTGTGTTAACCATTTTTAGTATGCTATGTTCTTGTATACAGATGTTAATCATTTGTCTTCTGCTGATAAATATTAGCATTAGTGTTCTGGCCATAAATTTTGTGCATGACCGACATTTTTAAGTTAAATGTTCGCTTAGTGAAGTGAAAGAGAAATTGCATATCGTTAGTTTGAACATATTCAGATAATCTTTTCAGTTGCATGCTATTATATTTTCTTTGTATAGGAATGGCAATAGCACCATGCCTTTCTTATTAACAAATTTGGAATTTTTGTTTTTAGGGCTATGCACTAATTGAATATGAGAATTTTGAGGAGGCTCAGGCTGCCATATCTGCAATAAATGGAACTGAGCTTCTTACCCAGACCATCTATGTTGATTGGGCCTTCAGCAATGGACCTTTCAAAAGGAGGAACATGAGGAGGAGGTTCGTTGATTCTTCTATACCCTTGTACTCATGCGATGCTTCAGTGTAGTAGTTTGTATTTTATGGTCTTAGCCAAGTTTTGTGTCAACCGATTTAATTGCTTGTTGAGGACTCCTGGGTCCATATAATTCTCTTGGATGAATTCACCAGGGATATCCAGAAGGGCTCCCAAGAAATAGGTTGAATGACTTCCAGTGCACTTTTGGATTAGTCCAAATGGGCAGCTTTTTTTTTTTTTTATTTTGATCGTGAGGCCCATGGGTGTTATTGGTCATAGAACATCCAGTTCTGCATGCTGGGCAGCTGAGGAAATTATTTCTTTTTTGAGTGAGCTTTTACATTGTGTTTATGGAGAAGCTTTGGTTCATGTTATTGTTTTGCAGGTCACCCCGTGGGCACCGATCAAGGAGTCCTAGGAGGAGGTATTGAGACTGACTCAAAGTCATATGGGCATTTGGTTTTTGGTGTGGGACTGGAATCTGGATTCGTGCTGAATGAATTGGGTTGATACTACCGATCAAAAAAAAAAAAATTGGGTTGATACTTGTGAGCACTTGATTTGTGGTATTTACTTTTTTTTAATGCATGCCTGGCTTGCAGTTTTCTGTCTAATGCCCTGTCTTTGCTTTTGCTTTTCTTTTTTTATCCCTTTCTCGAAAAGATAAGTGTTTTTAGCCCTGATGCTATTCCCTCGGAATATATTCAAAGTTTACACTTGAGCTAAATACTATGAAATGTTACAGATCCTTGTTGCCTGGATTCACCGTTGAGACTACTCTTTATCCAAATTTTCTCCATGTGCGTTGAAGGTCTCTTCCTATTGTCATCCTTCGGTCAAATCTGCTTGTTGGGACTTGGGCTTGGCTCAATCCCAGGGCCTAGTGGTTTGGTTAGAGGTTTAACTTTTATGCTCATCCCTTTATTCTGCATATGGGGTCGGTAGATTTGAGCATGGCATTCAGAGAAGTATTTTTATGGGGATGGGTTCTATTTATCTTGTGTATGTGGCCAGACCGGAAGAGACAGCACTCAGACATTTGGAATCCTTTGGAGGCATATCACTCCAAATCCCGGGGTGAACTGAAAAAGGTTTTGGCTCTTTATCAAGTTCCACTCCATTCTTTGTTCATCATAGCTAACAATCAATTCTTGGAGGGAACAACATCCTACCATCGTATTAACAGCCAAGCGTGATCTAATCGACTTTGTAGGTGTTCGGCATCGGCACTGGGATTAGGGGTGCTCACGGTTCGGGGAGGTATTTTTTCAAACCGAACCGATCTGATCGGTTTTTTAAATATTTAAACCAAAACCGAACCGATGCAACCGGTTAATCGTGGTTCGGTTTTTCAGTTTTTTATGCACTTAAAATAAAAAAAAAATTAAAACTGTTGGTGCCGGTGCTGGTGGTTGCTGTTGGTGCTGGATTGCTTGAGCTTGAGAGGTTGCGTTGGCCGGAGACGCAAAGAGGAGAGAGAGAGAGAGAGAGAGAGAGAGAGAGAGAAGAGATCATATGGCGTTGGACCGTTGGTGCTTACTTGCTGGTGAGGCGGCGACCAGTGTTGTTGCTTGGTGCTGCCGTTTTGGTGGTTGATACGGGCCGTGCGACCATTTGATGTAAGGACCGGAATACAGTCACACTCTGGCAGGGGAAAAGACAAAAGAGCAAATGATGGAGATTGGAGACTGGGCTGGGTGGATGGCAGATTGGGTTGGCAGACTGCTGAACTTTTAATTGAGGGGTTAAAATTTCAAAGAGAAGGCTGAAAGTCTGCTGAATTCTCTTATTCGATTTTCAAAAAAATAAAAAATATTATATATATATATATTGGTCGGTTTGGTTAATCGTCGGTTTTTTGAACTGGTTAACTGAAATCGAACCGAAATTATTAGTTTTTTAAGAACATCGAACTGAAACCGAATCGGTTGGTTCAGTTAACTAATTTTTCAGTTTGGTTTCGGTCGGTTTTTTTTGTTGGTTTGGTATTTTGGTTTTTTTGCTCACCCCTAACTAGGACTGTGTATGTCTGAGTTGTAAGTACTGTTTTCTCTTATTTTTTGTTTGGATACGGTATTGTTATATAGGCTGTTTTTTGGGAAAACATCATTAGTTTTGTTTGGTATCAGTGTTGTAGAACTCTTATTAGCATTGATCTATATTATCCAATGTCTAAGATGATGCCACATTGATGTCACATCAATTTAGACCTGGCAAAAAGTTGACCCAACCTGTGAACCTGACTCAACCCAACCCGAAAAAATAGGGTTAGGGTCTCATATTTAGCTACCTGAATGTGAGAATAACCTGACCCAACCCAACCCGCTAACCCGATTGTCAAGTCTAATTGGGACTATTTATGCATTGTTAGAAGTTTCCACTCTTTAATTTTTTCTATTTAGTCTTTACTCTTTATTGTTTACTCTTTAAATTGTTAATGTTCAAGTTTTTTTTTTTATTTTATATTTGGAATTTTAAGGTTAATTCCTTTAATTTTGGCATTTTCATGTAGTTTTTCTTTTTCTTTTTTTAAATTTTAGTTATTTTTTGGGATGACCCGAATATTTAGGGTTAGGGTCTAGCAATTGATAACCCAATCCAAAATTTAACCCGACCCAAAATCAACCCAAAGTGTCTTGACCCAACCCGAACCTGACTCACCCAACCAAATTGCCAGGTCTACACATCATTGCAATGCTGACGGCAATGGGCTGTTTTTCGAGAAAACATTGAATTTGGCGTTTTTTCATACTACACTTTCTCGATTTCCAAGGCATGGTTTGGAGTAGCGTTTTTTTGGAAAAATGATAAGCAACTCGATGCCAAACACCGCCTTTAACCCACAATCGGCGACAAGCTAGTAACTTTTGAAGAACTCATTACTAGTGAGATTATTAGGGATGTATAAATGCATTTCACAAACCAATGCAGTTCATCATGATCCATCAATCATGTACGAAATCTCTTAGGCTGTGTTTGTTTGGAGTGTAAATCTCATCGATGTAAAACTCTACTGATGGAGTTTTACACCGAACCATTTGGAAAAAGTGAGCATTAAAAAATGTGACTATCGATGTAATACTATATCGATAAAATTGATGTAGTTTTTACGTGGATAATTGATGTAAAGCTTCATTATAAGTGATGTTTGTTTTACATTAATTTACAATGTAAATCAAACCTCCATCCAAATGCCGAAAAAATCGAACTGCTGATGATGTTTTACATTGGATTCAAACGCAGACAAAACCAAACTGGTGGTAACGTTTTATACTACAAACAAATGCAGCCTTAGGTTGTGCATTATTCATTTCAGAAATGTTTTTTGGTTGAGACGTGTTGATTAGGAAGTTAAAGTGTTCTCTTTTTTTTTTTTTTTTTTTTTTTATTGTTATAAAGAATTTGTTGCACTGGTATCTCAAAGAAGTCCATTTCTGCATGAATTAGCATATTGCCAATTGAATTTTTCCCTAATTCTGCATAAATGCCAATGTGGAAAATTATTGCAAAAAATTAGTTGTGAAACGTATCCTTTCTAAATATATTGATACCGATATAATACATCCCAAGTCCTCAGATAGAAATACATAGATACCGATACAATACACCCCAAAACCCCATACCATATTGATACTTTAATCCGGATTGGAGGGTAATACAAACTCCCAAAATCAACCCGAGCACGCCCAAGTTACATCCTGAAAAAACCCTTGGGTTTGATTTAATACACAATAACCAAATCAACCCATTAATTAACAATTTTTAAAGAAAACACAATTATCAAGCGATGGCAACTAGCTAGCTGCTAATTTCTGAGAAAAAAACGGCAACTACCGAACTACCTCATTAGAAAAACCAGAATAATTAAGCCACGACAACTTTATTCAAATCAAAACCAGGCCAGAGGCGTGCTAACGTGCAGTGCAGATCTTGTTATCTATGGGCGAAATGGTAGTACGGTTCTTTAGTCTTTGCCAATACCATGGTGCACCACTTCATACTGACTCGATTGTTGCCTGGCCAAACTGGCTAATTTGTGGGTTCTTTCTAGAGCGTTAATCTAGTAAATAAAATATAAACTTAACCAGTATTCATTAAATAGCTATGTAGTAACTATATTATAAATAAAAATTTTAATCAAGTTGGTGAGGAATCACTTTCTAAACTTCTTGGACGAGCCAATATCAACTACCATGCATATACTAATAACATCAAATGGGTTTGGAATACGAGACTAAGACTTCATAGATCGATATGATAAAAGCCCTGCTTTGGTGTTGTGCTATAGGTTTCTTGTTTCCGTATATCCTTTCCATTTGCAAAGAACAAACGACACAGATATAGCTGTGGGAGAAGTGTTTCTGGGCGCCTTCCTTACGGTGATGCTTGAACAGTTGACCTCTTCTGAGCTAAGAGGGGTTGCACTTCGCTGGAGAATACATAAAAAGCTGAAGAAATTAGAGAATACGCTGTCAAAAATTCAAGCTGTGCTCATTGATGCAGAGAACAAGCAAATGAAAGACATAAAAGTGGAAAAGTGGCTAGATGATCTCAAACATGTGGCTTATGATGTAGAAGACATACTGGACAAGGTCTCAACTGAAGCTCTCCGCCAAAAATTGGAAGCAGAAGCCAAGATAAAGCAGGTACGCAAGAAACTCATTCCTTATAATTTACGTCCTCGTGTAGTTTCATTCAAGTTTGGGATAGTATCTAAGATAAGTACGATAAATAAAGAGTTGGAAGAAATTGCACTAGAGAGAGATCGTCTTGGCTTACAAGAGGGAGTTGGAGCAGAGTCAGTTCGAGTTGAACAGAGACGGCCAACAAGTTCCTTGTTAAATGAGTCTCTTGTTTATGGAAGAGAGGAAGACAAAGCAAAGATAATCAAGTTGCTACTGTCTGATGAACATAATCATAATGGGGCCCTAGTAATTCCCATAGTTGGTATGCCTGGGGTTGGAAAGACCACCCTTGCTCAGCTTGTGTATAATGGTGATAGCGTAAAGCAATATTTTGATCTAAAAGCATGGGTATATGTTTCAGAGGGCTATAACATGTTGACATTAACAAAAGCAATTCTGGAGTCTGCTACAGGGCAATCTTGTAATCTTAATGAATTAGATTCACTTCAAGCTAATCTTAAGAAGGAATTAAAGGACAAGAAATTTTTACTTGTTTTGGATGAAGTCTGGAATGAGAACTATAACGATTGGTGTGCCCTCCTATCTCCTTTCAGAGGTGGGATACAAGAAAGTAAGATCATAGTAACTACAAGAAGTGAAACTGTTTCATCCGTTGTGGGCAATGTTCATGCCTACAAACTGAATGTCTTATCAGAGAAAGACTGCTTCTTGTTATTTAAACAACATGCATTTGTGGATGGAATATCAGAAACAAATCCAAACTTGGAAGAACTTGGCCGTGGAATTGTAGGAAAATGCAATGGTTTGCCTTTGGCAGCAAAGACACTTGGAGGTCTCCTGCACTCCAAAGTAGATGTAAATGAGTGGAGAAACATCCTAGAAAGTGAATTATGGGAATTACCAGAGGACCGAAGTGAGATTCTTCCTGCCCTAAGATTGAGTTACCATCATCTTCCAGCACACCTGAAGCGGTGCTTCGCCTATTGTTCTATTTTTCCAAAGGGCTATGAATTTGAGGAGACATTAGTATTCTTGTGGATGGCAGAGGGTTTTGTCCAACCAAATGAAAGGAAGCATATGGAAGACATAGCTGGTGAGTAATTTGATGAGTTACTCCACAGGATGTTCTTTCAACAATCAAGTCATAATACATCAATGTTTATGATGCATGACCTCATGAATGATTTAGCACAGTCTATTTCAGGAGGAACTTGTTTCAGGTTAGAGGATGGAAATAAGAGCAATAATAGGGCAAACAAAATTCCTGAGAAGGCTAGACATTCATCATTTCTTCGTGGACAGTATGATAGAATAACAAAGTTTCAGGCCTTTCATGAGCTAAAGCTTCTACGGACCTTCTTACCATTAACAAGAAGAGAGGACAAGTATTGCTACATACCTAAACAGATCCTTCATGACTTGTTTCCCAAATTAACTTGCCTACGGGTACTATCCTTGAGATGGTATTATATCACACAATTTCCAGATTCAATTGGCCAACTGAAACACCTAAGGTATTTAGACTTCTCTCATACCCCAATCAGAAGACTGCCTGACTCAACTAATGCTCTATACAACTTACAGTCATTGATATTGAATTGTTGGCCCAATCTCATTGAATTGCCGAAGGACATGGGAAACCTGATCAACTTGCGACATCTCAAAACAAGTGAATGCCCCAATTTAGAAAAGATGCCAATGGGGTTTGGTAGATTGACTAATCTCAGAACTTTGTCTAATTTTGTTGTGAGTCAAGAATCTCCAATAAGCGAGTTAGGCAAAATTTCACACCTCCAAGGGAACATTCACATTTCAAAGTTAGAGAATGTAGATGCATTCAATTGACTGATGCAAGTCGTGCCAACTTAAAGGATAAACTACACATTCAAGGGCTTAAATTGGAATGGAGTGGTGCATCTAGTTTCCATGAAGATGTGCTTAGGGTGTTGCAACCTCATATGAACTTGAAGGAGCTCTTCATCAGCTCCTATCTTGGTGAATTTTTTCCAAGTTGGATTGGTGATCAGTCCTTGTCCAATTTAGTGATCCTGAAACTCTTTAAATGTAGCAAATGCAAGTCACTACCCCCACTTGGGCAACTACCCATGCTCAAAGATCTCTATATTGAAGGAATGCATAGAATTAACTGTGTGGGTCGCGAGTTTTATGGGGATTGTTTGGATAAAACTTTCCCATCATTGGAGATACTATCTTTCAGGGAGATGCTTGGGTTGGTGGAATGGTTTGGATTGGGAGAAGAGAAAGAATTAAAAGGCATTGAAGAATTTCCTAATCTCACTAAGCTTACTATGCAAAACTGTCCCAAGCTACAAAAACTATCACCTTGTTTCCCTGCCCTTGTATCACTAGAGGTAAAAGATTGTAAGGCATTGATTGCCCTTCCAAAACTCCTTCCCTCATCTGTAAGTACAGACCAACCTAGCAAAAGGTTTAAGAAAGGTCAACGATCCTCAAGTGAAAGAGGTGATGAGCTGACCCCTCATCTTTGTGAGCTCGTTATTGGGGATTGTCTCAAGCTGAGGGAGGCACCCTTCCCGCTACCTTTCATGACAAAACTTGAGATTCGTGGCTGCTCAGTGCACCATTTCTACGGACAAGAGGAGAGTAATAAACTTCTACTAGAAGGTTTTGCAGAGATCACCTCACTCAACTCATTCCATATTTCTGAATTTGTTAACACATTTCCCACAGGGATTTCTTCAAGCCATGATTGCACTCGAAGACTTAGAAATTTGTAATTGCTTTTCTCTTAAAGATCTTGGAAATGATGTGGGTTTTCAACACCTTGTTTCTCTTTGTAGGTTGGTAATTCTGGGATGCCCCAGACTTAAAACGTTGCCTGAGCTACCCCTCAGAGTCAAATTTTTGCATATCGAACATTGTTATGGCCTGAGAGAGCTACCCCATATTGATTTACTTACTGAGCTACGAAGTCTTTCTATCATCAAATGTGGAAGGCTACAATACTTACCCCAGGGATTGAATAATCTCAGATATCTTGAACATTTAGAGATCAAATGGTGTAGTTCTATTGAGTCCTTTCCATGTACAGGACTGCCCATCAAGATTGAACGCCTTGAGATAAAAGATTGCAGGGTTCTCAAGTTACCAGTTCAGGGACTACACAACCTTACCTCTCTCAAGTATTTGATCATTGAGGAATGTTATCATCTGAAATCCTTGTCAAGAGCGTGGTTGCCCACTTCTCTTGAGCATATTGAATTCAGGGAATGTGAGAATCTCAATAACTTGCCTGAAGATTTGAACCAACTTTCATGTCTTTATCATTTAGAGGTCAACAATTGTCCAGCTCTTGTAGATTTTCCAGAAGAAGGGTTACCTGTCACCAGCTTGAGATCAGTTTGGATCATTGGATGCAAGAACCTTAAGTTCTTACCTAATCACATGAACAGCCTCGCATCACTTCATGAATTGCGAATATGGAATTGTCCTAAAATCGTGTCATTTCCTCAAGGAGGATTGCCCGCCAATCTGTACTCACTTTCCATCAAAGATTGCAACTATCTCAAGCTCCAGTTTGATTGGGGTCTGCACGACCTAACCTCTCTTAGATATCTCATGGTTGCTGGTTGTCCTGAGCTTTTCTCCTCTCTGGATTGGCAGTTACAGCTAATGACTCTTACATCTCTTCATTTAGAAAGATGTGAAAATCTTATTTTCATTCTCAGGGGGCTAAAAAATCTCACCTCCCTTGAAGAGTTAGTAATAATCAAGAGTAACCAACTCAAGTCCTTAAGGGAGATAGGGGTTCTCACTGCTTCACTTTCTCGTCTAGATATACAGGACTGTCCTTTGCTGAAACAACAGTTTCAGGATGAAGAAGATAGGCCCAAGATAGCCCACATTTCCTGTATAGAGATTGATGGTGAAAACATAACTTAATCTTTCTCAAATGATTTGGTGATTCCTTTGATGAGAAGAACAAAGAACTTCCTATGGTCAGGTACTATGTTGTCTTTGTCATTCAGTTATAAAGAACTTGTTTAAATTTGATAAAATTAGTTAATGGGAAGTTCTTTTTTTCTCTCATTTTAGTTACCCATGTAGAGGATGAACAGGATGTGATGGGAATATTTTCATCCTCCTATGCACAGCTGATGGTTCTACTTCAAAATTGCAGAGCATCATCACCGAACAAGTGCTAATTCTAACTTCTGAGTAATCTTCCCTACATTCCTTTTGGTAATTGATACCGTGATTTCTATGGGATTTGATCTTGGATTTACATAAACTGCAGCCTTTTGTGATTCATCTTAGTTTATGTTAAAGCTTAAAACAGACATTTTTTTTTGAAAGAAAACGCTTAAAACAGACATTGATGTCATACTTTAAGCATGGTTGCATTTGCAACTCTGAATATTTACCTTTCATTTATGTTTTTATTCGTATGTTCATTTCATCTACTTCATTGTCAAGTGATTAGACTTGTATATCAATCTGATTCACAATATTTGATTTACTATGGAAGGGCATCATGACTATTGTAGTTTTATACATATGTAAGCATAAACCATCATGCATAATAAAAGGAGTAGAAAAAGGTGGAGTTTTTTAGAACTTGAAGAGAGACAAGAACACATTAAAATTAACAGTTTTAAATGCTATGATGGAAATCAATTATAATACTAATGGATATGGCGATATTTGATATTTGATGTACTAATAGACAAGATGGCAACAATCTCAAGCTCCGCCACAACTGAAGCCTACATGGTCTAACCTAGGGATGGCAATTTCCACCAAACCCGGCAGGTACCCGCCCCTACCCTCCCCAATAGAGTGGGTTATTGTTTGAAGAATGGATTTTGGGGTAGAGACAAGTTTTAGGGTTTTACAACAAATACGATGCAGGTAGGGTACGTTATTACACTAAACCCAACCCTCATTGACTTACACATTGAATTTACTAAAATATCCCTAGTGCTTATAATTAAATTATTGTTGTAAGGCATATAGACTTAAGTGTTATATGTTGAATGCAATAATGCTTTAAATCTTATATGAAGGATGGTAAAAAAATTATGGGTTTTCTACATGTTTCAATCAAAAAGTTGGTAAGTTTGATGCTTGTTCATGTTATTTTGCTTGTTTATTTCTTATATATAATAAGAAATAATATGAAATTAGATGTGGGTTCTAGACCCAACCCACCCTAATGCAGAGAGGGTAGGGTCAGGGAGGGTTTGGGACCTTTTAAACCATGCTTAATTACCAATACAACCAAATTGTATACGTCAACCTTGAACATTGGTCAAGTGGAAGGTTTGGTGGTTTAACCAGTAAATTAGCCTGTTAAATTGTTCAAATTTATCAAAAACTCATCGGTGGGAATGCTATGTTGTTATTCCACTCAACCATCCGACATCTTCAATGGGCAAAACAAATGAACTTTCAATGATATTCCCCCAAAAACATCATGCCAATGGGATAAGTTAATAGGGAAACTCACCCCCACCCTTCTTTGAGAAGGGTTGTTTTGTGTCTAATTCATTTAGGGATGAGTTTGGGCTATGAAATGTCAACCCTCAATGGTTTTGGGTTAGTGCATATATAATAGGGATTCAACTTGGGATGGACCAATGGGAATCCAGTTTGGGTTGGGTTGAAGATTGGATTAGGGTTAGAAAATGCCAACCAACTGTTAGAACTGTAGTGCAAGTCAATCCGATCCAATGTATTATTCTTATTACTAGATATTCTTGCATATATGTTTATAAATAGGGTAAATTACAGATTACCACCTTTTACTTTGGGGTTGACACTTGCCCATTGAACTTTCATTTGCGACAAAGATCTCATAAATTTTTAGATTCCAACAATTTGCCCCCTCATTGTTAATTGGGTGAAGTTAATTTATTAAAATATCATTTCAAGATTCCTATGAGCAAGAGGACCGAATTTCAAAATGATGAAAATGGGCAGGGGAAAGCACATCATCTCTTTAGAATGACAAATAAGGGGTTTTATTCTTTATACAAATATGTAAGAGAAAGGGAAAAATTGGTCCCATAAATTAAGAAAAGGGTAATTTGGGGATTTGGAAATGTTTAACATATACATGACAGTCACATGCAAGTCTTTTTTGAAGTTAATTAAGGGAATGCTAATAGAGGGGACAAAGTATTGGAATCTTAAAGTTCAAGGAGTAAGTGGCACTACCCCAAAATACTAGATGGTAATTTGTAATTTACTGATTTTAACCTGTATGTATGTATGTGTACACACGTGTGTTTGTATATTTAACAAGCCGATTACCACCTGTACTTTAAGGGTGGTCAAAGTTAGCGCCCTGAACTTTCATTTGCAACAAAGCCCCTTCAACTTTTAGATTCCAATACTTTGTCCCTTTTCCACCAATTGGATTGATAGAAATAGCTAATTTACTAAAACACCCTTTCAACATGCGTATAAGTAAGAAAACAACATTTCAAAATGACTAACATGTGTATTGAGCCGACTGGGAGTGGAATGGTCAAGTCACTCACATGGCTCGGTACAAAACCACATCTGCACCCCACAGGGGCGACCAACATTTCAGTGTGCATTGGGAACATCTTTCGTAGTTTTCAGTGGGAGATGTTCTCAATACACAGTTAAGATATGTTGTGAGGTGCCCTTTATGGAGTGTAGATGTGAATTCGGCTCGAACAACATGTGACTTCCCCTCGAGATGAGTTGACCTTGCGATTTGGAGACATTCAATTTGTCCTTAGGAGTGAGATGAGTGGCGCAACCAACACTGATGTCTCACTTGAGGAAAGCATGAGACCAAACCGAGTTGACACATGCACAAAATGCAGTGGCTAGTGGTGGTATGGGACAAGAGAGTCAACAGGTCGATTAGACACCTCCATCTACAAATTCCTCCGAACAAGAGATGATGAGTATTTCATGTAATGAATATGAACGGTTGATCTAGGTTACTTCTCAACCGAGTATAGCTATACTTGCTTACTCAGGTATGGCTTGTCTAGCATCCAAACCCTTCCATTGGATCATTGATTCTAGAGCTTTCAATCATATGAATGGGACTCTAGGTGTGTTCTCTTCTCTTTCTTCATCCTTTACAACCCACACTATTACCCTTGCTAATGGTTGCACTTCTTCCATATGTGGTACCGATAATGTTAACACTGGTTCATTCTCTTTGCCTTTAGTTCTGTATGTTCCCAAGTTCCATTTTAATCTTATGTCTTTTAGTAAATTGATCAAGTCTCTTAATTGTTCTATCACCTTTTACCTTTCATCTATTGTCTTTCAGAATCTCAAGACCAGAATAAAGATTGGTGGAGGACATGAAGATGGTGGACTGTATTATCTTGATGGTGGTGGTGGTTCGTCAACAACTCTTCAGATGTCTCTTTCTCCTCTCCAGTGGCATTGCGTACTTGAACATCCATTTCTTAAAGCTCTTAAGCAACTTATTTCAGCATTGAATTGTCTTTCTACTTTGGATTGTGAGTCATGTCAGTATGGGAAACATCATCGGGTTTCCTTTAGTCCTAGAGTCGATAGTCGTATGTCGAATCATTTTTCTTTGGTCCATTTAGACATTTGGGGTCCAAATAAAATAGTGTCACACAATGGCTACAAGTACTTTGTTATTTTTGTCGATGATTATTCAAAGATGACATGACTTTGTCTTATGAAAGAAAGAAATGAATTATTTTCTATTTTCCAAAAGTCACATGCTGAAATTCACACTCAATTTAGTGTT